AAACATGTACAATACATCCTAATACTAAGACTTATATGAGGTCATATAATGCTTGCCACACAATCAAAGTAGAGTCTATCTCTTTATAATTAATCACAGTACTCCTTTCTAGTCTTGAATATTTCAATCCATTCAAGATACTTGAGATGGACTGGGTCATCAGAGAGCACATATCTTGCACCATTCTGACAGCCTGTCTCAAGTATCTTGAACAGATCAGAATATTCAAGGTCTTTAAAGCAAGTAAATATTTTATTTATTATATATTTTAACATCTTTTATATTTTAATTTGTTATATCTTGTTGTATGTTCGTCAAAACATGATGTTATGCTGCAATGTGCATTTATGCATTTCCTGATGACTTCAATTTTTAACATGTATCAGTATACTGCCTATTCTCTATGTTCCACATCATCAAGGCTCACTATCTCTTGCCTTGACCGACACTTTTCATGTAGTCATGTATTTCAGTGCTTGCTATTGCTTGCACCTCAGTACCTGATTGGGGGCAGGCCCCCACAACCCCCTAAAACTATATTACATCAAGTACTCCACAAAAAGTTAAGTGGTCTACTTGAAGCCAGCATAATTGCATGGGCTAAACAGTTAAACACAATAATCTTAGTGAGCGATGCAGAAGACAGTATCACACATTGGATTAAAGTTATAACTGGCATTCCATTAACAGAAAAGTACCAAAACTTTTATATGTACTGAATATAGCTCTTTAATATAATTGTTTTATAATATCAATCAAATTGGCATTTTATAAACTTTCATTGCTGCTACTTTAATTTAATAAAAATATTGTCCTTAAATATAAAGTATAAATTGTATTTCCTCAAATGTAGCATTGCTTGTTGCTATAAATTGTATTGATTTTCTTTTCTCAATTTTATATTTATGAAGATATAATTGAGTATTTATAAAGTAGTAGTAAGATTTGTCATATTATGTTAGCTTAATGTTCCTAAATTAATGTTGTTTTCAATGATGAATAGCAATATCCACTAGTTGTGACTTTGCTATTTGGAACTAATCATGTGAGGACTAAGATGGTTACTGTTTTAGTTTTATTGCCAGTTTTTCTGTCAGATATGCATTTCAGGCATAGCTCCTTATCAGTCTGACCTATTTGAATATCATAATATATGAATTATGAGATTTAAGAATACAGTAATTATATTAATTATATACAATTTTTAATTTGCATGATTAATTTTATAATTATTGATTTTAATGTTTTGGATTCTTAAAATTAAGATACAATGATTAAAATTATTAACATAATATATGGATAAGTGTAAATTTAAAATACAAACATTAAAAAGATAAAATTGTGAATCAGAATTGGACAGCACGTCGATCATTTAATACAAGAAATTTCTTAACATATAGGCGTTAAAATACAAATAAGTGTCGCTAAATCAACAAGCGCTTTTGACAAGAATTATTTTCATCTTTGTCAGGTTGATGAAGATGGTTAATGTCCTATTCGAAAAAGGATGTTAACCATCTTCATCAACCTGACAAAGATGAAAATAATTCTTGTCGAAAGCGCTTGTTGATTTAGTGACACTTATTTGTATTTTAACGCCTATATGTTAAGAAATTTCTCGTATAAAATTGTGTATGTAATATATTAAAAATACTAAATTTTAAAATACGCTATAATTTGACTATAAAAGTACCTGTATAAAATCCAATGTTTTGAGTATATCTGTATATGTCAGTATTACAATAATACTGTAATATACAGAGCCCTGTTGTCATGTGTTTATCCCCTCCCATCTGAAAAGTGTGATGTAATAAATGTCAGTAAGAATTACTTGCAGACAGAAGTGAACTAATACACTTGATCCTATAAATTTAAGTATAAATTATTGGTGCTTTTAACATGCATATAACAGTGCATATATCTGGAATTTTTTACATGCATATGTATGGTAATGTATTGTAATTTTAAACACACACAAATCCCGATCTTAATCATCATGATTTAGTAGATAATGAGAATTTGTGTTATGCATCTAAAATTAATTATTTTGAAATATTTAAGTAGTTTCTTTTCTAAAAATTAAAAAAATCATTTAATTATTAATTAAATTAATTTGTTAGTTTTATAAATTGATAATTTATTTTAACAGTTTTAAATCAAGTCGGTAATATAATCACTACTCAGCCCCAACGTCCTCAGTTACTACATAATGTTTCAGGAATTCAGTTGCATAGATCCAGACAGCAGACTGCTCAACAGCAATCTCAGCCATCAAATGTTCCAAATCAATCTGTTGTAAGTAAACATTTTCTGTTTTTATATCTATGGAACATTATAGATTAAATATTAATGAATTGTATTTAATCTATGTAATCTTTTGTAATTTATTATTATTAAATCATTGTTGTTAAACTTAGCCATTGCAACAATTAATGGGAGGATTCAATGAAAATATGTCTTTTGTACAAACTCAGCAGACGAGTCCTGCTACCTCACAGTATCAGTCGACAACTCAATTTCAAGGTCAGAGTCCAGGACCCGTGAGTAGTTTACAAATTTTTTATTTCAAATTTGTTTTTAATGTATTGAATTTATTGTTACATATACATATGAATCATAAAATATCAAATGTTAGAAGATTGATGATTATGATTGATATCAAATAAAAACATGAAATTAATTTTTAAGTGAAAATATTATTTTTTGGATAAATTTCTTTACATTTAGTTTTGTTGTAAATCAAACATGAGTAAAGTACATTTAGAAATTTTTGATAGGTCAAATTAATTTATACAAAAATATTTATTTTATGATTATAATGTAAAGAATTTGAAATGATCAGAAACCTTCTTAAGTTTTACTGTCTCATTTGAAATTTTAGCAGTAGATATAGATGTTAGCAATTTTTTTACATTCTATTAGTTTCTGTTTAATGAATCTATTGACAATTTCCTATTACAAGGAAACTCACTAACTTGATTCCACTTCTGTCTCATTTATTTTGTTTGCCACATTTGTTTCTCATTTATCTGTAAATATGATGGTAAATATTTACTTCTGTTAAACTTTCTATTATTACACCTAAAGCTTAGTTTCCTCCTACTTTTCTGACAATTTACATTACATTTTATGAACTGTTCTCCCCATTTTCCAGTCTACCTCTGAACGTTTCTAGTCATTACCTAATTTTGTTCTTAACAATTAAACTTTACATTAACTTCAAATAACATCTACTACAATTCACTTGCTGCAGCTTGCAGTAAATTATGTAACACTGATATAAAAAAATCTAGCAACAAGTTGCTTAACTTTCCCAGCAGCATTTTGTGGTGCCATCTGTTATGATATTTTATTTAAAATGTTTTTTATATTTTAACTATTATAAAANAGGGCTGCTGTTAGATACATTCTTCGATGTGATAGTATTAAGATATTACATTTTTCCCCGATTTGAGAGAGAGAGTTTACAGAAGTTTCGCGTGGCGATAAATACCTTTTGTTTTTGCTGTCCTACAATTCACTTGCTGCAGGTTGCAGTAAATTATGTAACACTGATATAAAAAAATCTAGCAACAAGTTGCTTAACTTTCCCAGCAGCATTTTGTGGTGCCATCTGTTATGATATTTTATTTAAAATGTTTTTTATATTTTAACTATTATAAAATGGCAAAAAACATAATTCTGAGAGTAGTGATGGGTTTTATAATATATTATAAATGCTAATGACGAGTAAAATTGTCATTAAGTCTGACCCTACTTGAGATACACACAATCATCTTTATTTCCCTATCCCCTCAACCTTTAATCACCAAATTTAATAGTATCAATCCCCCTTAATAAACAAACATCCCTGCAAAATTTTGGAAATTTTTAACAAAAAGCATGTGAATTATTAAGCTTTAAAGAAGATGAACAAAATCATGCTATACATACATAAACACACAAACATCCATACCATACTACATATAGAAAAACCTCTGAAATTTTTGCATTTCTTGACATTTCAAGGTGTCCTGAGTCCTAAAAATGTAAAACTCTTGGGGGATCATTTTTTTTGACTGATTGCCATACTTTATCTCTGTTATATATAACAGCTGGGAAAGTAAAAATATATATAGATTTGTGAAACTCATCTCTATTAAATCTTTCTATCTTTATTTCTTAAAAACATCCAATATTATTTCTCTAGAAATCTTATCATATTCCTTTTCTAAATCTGTAAATATCATAAGTGAATAATTCTAATCATCTGTATGCTTTTCTGTTGTTTTTCTAATTATAAATAAGGATTTCATTGTTGATTTATCTTATATAAATGAAAACTGATTTTTATTTTATTGTATTCTTCAACTTAGTTTCTTTATTATTATTTCTGTAATTTTAAAGTATGATACATTATTTTTATAATTAGCTCTTACAATTATCACAGTTTCAACTATCATTTTTTTTGTTATAGTTATATTATGTGATCAGAGACTTTATCCAGTCATTAGAAATCTTAGCTCCTCAACCTAATGTGACCAAAGGGTCGGCACCTCTTTGGTGCCCTGTCAGGATGACACCACCGCATCTCGGCGGACATGGAAGCCGCGTTGTTTAGGTCACGCGAGCGGTCGTGTAACAGAGCGATCAGAGTCGAGATAGAAGGAGAGACAACGCACCGGAAGTGATTTACTCAGACACTTTATAACGTAACAACGGTTTAATGGTTAATGATAGGCTATACATTAGGGCTGCTGTTAGATACATTCTTCGATGTGATAGTATTAAGATATTACATTTTTCCCCGATTTGAGAGAGAGAGTTTACAGAAGTTTCGCGTGGCGATAAATACCTTTTGTTTTTGCTGTCTTGATGGAGATTCTCGAGCGGTCTTGGTGAAGGGAAGAAAGTTCGGAATGTCAGTCCGGTAGAGGAAGTATCCGTAAGAATAATAGAACAGTATCCGAAAGGGTGTTAGTCGATGGTTCCGATGATCCTTTTGTAGGATATATCCTCTGATATCCGAATAGTGAGGCACTTAGGACAAGGTACTAGTGACAACTTCTCTTTTCGAAAGACGGGCGACGACTGCTACTTCGTTGTCGGTTTTTCATGTTGGATTGTTGAAACGGAGATATTAGGTTGAAAGGTGCTGAGAAAGCATCGTTATTACGCCTGAGAACTTAGCAGATGTTTAGCTTCCAGGTGTAAAAGTTGACAGTTATCGAATGATATTATGGCTACAGTATGATCTTAGGAGGTAATGATATAAACACACGGAAAGTCTGAATTCGGATCCTCACACTAATATACTGAAAACTTTATATAATCAATTAACATCTGTATTACCTGAAAGTTGCCATATTTTTACTAGTATTTATTTATTTCATCTCATCTTGTTTACTTCATTCCACATCTCCCATTGTATTTAAAAGTTCTTTAAAGTGCATGAATTTTCTGTTTTTAATATATGCACTTTAAAAAAAAATTCCTTCTCTTCCTAACAGACAATTTATCTTTCCTATGTATCTACATTTATGTTACTTTTTACCAAGCAGTCCTACTTTATGTACAGTCTCCTTTCTTTCATTTGTAATTATATATAGTTTATTGTGTTTCAATACATATTACTAATTCTGCTGTATATTACATTTTTGCTTTCTTATTAACCTTTTGTAATTCTAAATGAAAACATTATTATTCATAAAATTTTTTAAAGATTTAATTAATTTTATAATTATGAAGAATGACTAAAAAATTATTATATGAGTAATTATGAATAACTGAACAAGTATGAGAAATGCATTTTTTCATCAAGTTTAAAAAAATATTACTTAAAATTTTTTTACTAACTGTAAACTCATTTATGTTGTAATTTAAATTAATTCTTCAAAACTTAACAGAGTTTAATATCAGTTATGAATTTGTATATTAGGTTGTTACCAACCAAGGTCCGGGCAGCAATCAGTCTACTGTACCTTCTCCAGTGCCGCAACATGGAACCAATGTTTCAAAGCAAGTATTAGAATATAATTTTTAAATGACATGTTTTAAGTAGTGGGGAAAAAAATTATTTTTTAAATTGTTATTGATTTATAATAAAACCTGTATTTTATTCTTTTAGTTCTCAAATGGCACCTTCCCCGGCTGGATATGCTCCCAGTCCAACTTCACAAATTGCTCCTTCTCCGGTAGGATATTCGGGCCGGGCACCCACTAATGCTGGTGCACCTTCACCCGGAAGTGCTTTAAATACACCTGGTTTGTTTTTTTTAATCAGTTTTGAATCTGTTTATTATTTCTTATGCTAAATTTTAATTAAGCATTTTATAATTTTGAAGGAAATATCGGTGCAAGTCCGAGTCCTGCCGGGAGAACTCTTCAAGATGATCAAATGTATCTAGAGAAACTCAAACAACTTTCGAAATATATAGAACCACTAAGAAGAATGATTGCACGATTAGATAAAGATGAAGGTAACGGATTTTTTTTAATAAATAAAAATATTAAAATATTAAACTTTGAGAAAAAGAAATTTAATTTTTTATTTTCTAACATTCATTACAATTTAATTTATGTTAAAACAAAAACAATTTTTACAATTCAAAAAGAAAATTTTCAAATATTATTTAAGAACTTAAATATCAAAAATCATTTATATAACTATTTATTATTAATTAAATATTTAATCCTGTTTTTAAGACATTAAATTAGAATAATATGAAATGTAGTAATTTTAATTAACATTAGTAAATATAACTTTAACTGATGGATTTCAGATGATGAAATTTTAATATTTATAATGAAATCCATCAGTTGATATTGGTTTTTTCAACTGTTAATTTTTTCTGATTTTAATAATTTAATACCTGATGATAGGAATTGACAATATATCATCAGGAATTACTAAAATTACATTTAACACAATTTTAATAACCTCTGATTTAATAAATTTTTTTTTCAATACATGGAACTTAACTGAAAGAAATTAAAGGCATTATCAAATAGACAACAAAAAATTAATATGAGAAAATTTGATATTGAAATCGATGTCTCCATTTTGATCATCACCCATTGGATGAATAGTTGAACAGTAAATGCACTTGTGACACAATTCAATTTTGAGATTCTCATGCATCAAACTGTTTGACGTCACACTACGGAACCTGTGACCGGTGCTCTGTGCGTATATGTTAAAATATCCTGACAAACGTTTTCGAGCGTTCCAATCGCTCTTCTTCAGGTCAACTGAAAGAATTCCCTGGGATCGGCCGCTCTCGGGCGACCTCTGCGAAATGGTCGTCAGGCAGCTAGAGACCAAGGCCCTCTCGCCTTTCCTTCCTAGCATCCTCGTGTATAAACGATATGTTGATGACATCCTCATCTTATGGAAGAAGATACCCGACATAGCATCCTTCGTCAGAACCGTTAACGACAACCCCTTCGGCCTGACGGTCGAGCTGGAACAAGCTAGCGCAGAGGAAGTACATTTCCTCGACATCGGAATAAAGATAGTAGGACCCACCATCCAAACAGCCGTATACCACAAGCCCTCGTCCACCCCCACGTACATACCAGCTGATCCCTGTGACCCATTCGCATACAAGGCAGCCGCATTTAGAGCTCTTGTGGAGAGGGCGTTCTCACACTCATCCACCAAGCAAGCCCTGACGAATGAATTAGACCGCATCAAAAAAATAGCAACTGTACACGGCTTCCCGAACATAACGCACCGCTTAATTGAACAGTACCAGCACCGGAAACGCACCCTAACCGCAGCGACCGCCACCGACCCGCAACGGGATAACCCGACACGGATCCCCATCACATACAACCCGCACCTCAAGACTATACATAGAAGAATAGCCAAAGAGCACGGGATTCGACTGGCATACAGAAGATGCCCCACGATTTTCCGCACCCTAAGAAACGATAAAGACCCTCCCGATCGCACCAGACTCCCCGGTATCTACTCTATCCCGCTCCATGACAATAGACAAAACGCAGAGCTACTGTACATCGGCTCAACCAAACGCTCTTTAAGCACCCGCCTACGTGAACACCAAGCGGATATCCGGCACGGCAGGCTGACCACAGCCCTAGCCACTTATGCATCCGACCCCGAAGTCGAGGTGCACTTCGAGAAGGCTACCATTATTGTCAACACGCCCCACCAACAGCAGCTTAGATGGCTGGAAGCCGCGGCTATCCACAACGCTGACTGGCTAACTACCTGCATTAACCGGAAAGAGGAACTAACCTTGTCTCTGGCCTGGCAATCGCTATTGGACGCCAACCCACCGCTTCCTCCCCCCGCCGCACGACCGCACACACCGGAAGAGACCCACCCCCTCGAAACCGACACCCGATCCCAGAGAATAATATACACTCCGTCCGGGGAATTCCTTCAGTTGACCTGAAGAAGAGCGATTGGAACGCTCGAAAACGTTTGTCAGGATATTTTAACATATACGCACAGAGCACCGGTCACAGGTTCCGTAGTGTGACATCATTTTCATCCCGGTGCTGTGGATAGAATAGTTTCTGCATTCAAACTGTTTGAGCTAGTGATTTCATTTTTTTATTGTTCTTAGCATTAATTTATTACTATGATTAGTTAATTTGAGTTTATTTTTATTACTTTTCTGTGTAGTGTCTGCATCTTTTCCTTTACCTTACTTTGCATTCTTTATGAGAACTTTAAAGTCACATAGGCTATTTGTTATAAAGATAATATACCTGAAAACCAAAACAGTGTATTAATAAGATTACTTCTACATTAACAAAATAATAATAAGAGCAAAAAAATGGAGAAAAATCAACAAAATTTTAAAAAAAAAGCTAAGCACTTTCAAGTTTTAGTATTCATAGATTAATATTGAATGAATATTGATGTTTGAAAGCACTTGGACTTTTTGAATTTTAAATTGAATTTTCTTCTTTAAAGCATTTTTACATTTTATTTTTTTATGTGTGTGAATTTATTATTATTTTATTTTTATATTAATTTTAAATTTAAATTTTCAAGATCTTTTATAAATACAGAAGAACCTCGATTATCCGGACTAATTGGGGATGAAGGTAGTCCGGATAAGGAAAAATTTGGATAATCGAAACAAATACTTTAATTTGTTTTTTAATGATAATACAACACATTTTCTTTTCGATGACATATTGGTAATATTAAAAATAAATACTGTATTTAAACTGTGATCAAATTTTCAAGAAACAAATATTTGTATTGAATTTGGACTACTACTGACCAGCGCTAACAGACTACCTATTGTTTAAAAGGCCATCTGGTGGTGCAAGAAGATGGATTTTATAAAATAAAAAGCAGTTGAAACTGCATTTTATGAATAAAAATTTGACAAACTATTATTTTATGACGAGTAAAATTTTTTCGTTGAGTTTGCGGCTTTTAAGTAATGCATAAATCTTTGAGGCGCGAGGCCCTTCAGACTGCGGGGCATAGGCGGTGGCCCACGTTGTCCCTGCCTTATGCCACCCTTGGTCATAGAAATGATGTAATTTGAATATAAATTATTTATAAATACGTATGTCAAGTTATATTTTATTACGACGTAAAATATATTTAAGAGTTTATGACCACTGTGCTGGGTGAGATGTTGTTGAAACAAAAAAAGTTATGCATTCCATCACGTATATAAACCGTGTCGTAATTCACCAAGTGCAAATCAGCAAATTCGTAAAATTTTTGTTTATTTTGAACAATCCAGATAATCGAAAATCCAGATAATAGAGATCCGGATAATCAAGGTTCTACTGTATATTATAATTTAAAATTTTATTATATACAATCACTTATTAAAATAAGTTGCAATTGAGGATGTAAGAAATTTATTTGACTTAAGTTCTTTCTTTACAATTACATCTAATTTAATTTTAATTACTTATTATTATAAAAATTTTATTTTATAATTTTATATATAATTGTTGTTGACAGCATATATTCATAATAGATTTAAATTTTAATAAAATAACATTTTCTGATTATTTCAAAGTTGTTATTGGTCTTTAAACATTCTTTAAGGAATTTGAATTATATATTTGAGAAAATTTTGGTATTACAGTGGAACCTCACTTAATGAGCATAATTCATTCCAGAATCGTACTTGTAATGCAAAACACTCGTTAAGCGAAACAATTTTTCCCATAGAAATTAATGTAAAATATGATAATGTGTTCTGTGCCGCAAAAATACTAAAATATTTTATGTATAATGTTTATTCAAAGAAAATTGTACAACGTGCATTGTTAAGGAGCATGAATCATCATCATTATTTCTTCTAGCACAGAATGAACCAACCTGGAATGAGAATTTGATTTGCAGAAAACAAAAAAATCATTGATAATATGTTTGATAAACACTCCAAACGATATGCCAAATTCTTGGGCTATGTAAAAGCTATAATTAAATATTAGAAATTAATTAATTTCACTAGAAGTATTCAATTATGCTTCCATCTCGTATTAAATTTAATAATTATAAATAGTTAATTTTTAATTACGATATTTCTAAAATTTAATTTGGAATTGGTCATTAAATTTAATATGAGATGGCAGCATAACTGTCTACCTATAGTCAAATTAATTAATTCTTAATAATTAATTATAGCCTGTACATAGCCCAAGAATTTGGTATACCATTTGGCGTGTTTATTATATAACGGGCTATGGTTGTTGATGTTTAAAAGTAATTTGTGTGATCACAAGTTTGGAAAAATGTGTGATCACATGAGACACTAAGATGCTAGAGGAATGCATGCTGAACACAGATTGCTGGAGCATGCGCACAATTTGAGACTTTCCCTCTATTTGTCACTCATTATGCGAAACATCGCTAGTTAAGCAAGGCAATTTTTTACAATTTGTTTTGCTTGTTATGTGAAACACTCGTTATGCGAGGTTCTACTGTATATGCTTTTTAACAAATTAAAGATCTTTTGATATTATAATAGATATTTTTAAAATATTTTATTTAATTATTAATATATGTTTAAAGATTTATTATTATGCTTATCTTAACTAAAAATAAAAACTCTGATTATGAAACTATTTTAGAACGTAAAAAAGAATTAAGCAAGATGAAGCATTTATTGGATATTCTTTCTGATCCTAATAAAAGGTAATTCAATTTTTCAATATAAAATTGTAACATTTATGAGACACTTCAATTCTCATTTAAGAAGAGAGGTTTCTAACATATTCAATTATTATTTTTTAATTATTATTAAATTTTGGTGAATGTAAATGCTCCTATTTCTGGAAATGCAAGGAATTATGAATATTTTTTTATATTGTATGAATAGAGTTTACTTATATTAATTAAAGTGAATGAGGGGAAAAAGTGTTTCTTGTTACTTTTGATATGTGATGCTCAGTTAAAAATGTTTCAGAATTTCTAAATTGCAGATTAATTTTCTAAAATTAGGAATTCTAAAAACCATAATGATGCTTATCAATAAGAAAAAAACTAACACAATCATCTAATATTCAATAACTGTCATAGAAAATAATCTAACATAAAATGCCATGTTAGATTATATGAAAAGGAAAGATATTATTTATAAGTCAGAAATATCAGTGTTCATGTGATAAAGTATTCCAAAAAGTTTGGCAACCCTTGGTCTAACACCTTTCAGGGGAAAATTTTTGAATAGAAATAACATGACTTCCTGTTTGTATTGGAAGTTCATATATAGTTAATTAGGGCCTCTTGTTCCTTAAGTTTCCATATTTGATCTCGTCTTTAATCTATCTAACTTTGTTCTTGAGATTAAGGAAAGATGGATGGACAGACGACAGTAGGAATTTATAGGTCTACAATTTTTTCAAATTGCAGCCCAATTAAAGAAAATAAATTTTATATTTTAAAACTTTGTTTTGAGTAATAAGATGTTTATGCAAAAGGAATAATTATCTTGGATTTGTATAGGCTTGCACTGGGTGACTTAAGTAGTGAGGATGTGATATATATACACAACTTTGTGATTTGACCTGATTATATAGAGAATAATCTTTGTATATGACTAGATTCTTTGGATTGGTAGGATGGTGTCCTTAATACTTTGGCCATCTGGATACTGTTCTGTTTATTGTAATTGACAAATTACATATTTGGTAATATTTGTTTGAACAAATTTGCATATATTATTTTAATAAATTCTAGAATACATTATAATTATTTATAAATTACTTAAATATTTTTCAAGCATATAAATTTATAACTATAAATAAAACACTAGCAATATTATTTATAAAACTTCTCATTTATTTCATTTTTGTTTTAGAAAAGCATTTTATCTTAAAATTAGGTAAATGAAGATTATAATTAGTAAATACTAAATTAACTTCATCTTGCAGAGAATCAACACAAAAAACACAGTTTATATAATCCAGGATAGTAAACAATTCTTTTAAAGGATAAACAATATTGAAATAAAGTAATTAATTAAAAGCACTGTCATGAAGAACATTTTAATTGTCTGAACCTAAGCATTTGAATTTTCAATTTGATTCATTTGGAAACAGCATCAACTGAAGAAGATCAAGTTATATTTGAGCAAAAGAGCTTTTTAATTATTTCAGTTTAATATTATTTATCTTTTAAACAAATTGTTTATTATTATGATTTATGTAAATTGCAATTTATTATTATTATTATTATTATTAAGTTTAAACTAAATATAGTTAATTATTCTGTATATAAATATGATTTTTTTTACCTAATGTAAATTTTTTGTAAATAATAACATATAAAACTTTCCTATAATGAAAAGCATTATCCATAAAAATGTAAAATATAAATATAAAAATTATGAATTTAGAGTTTAAGAATGCAAATACCTGTTGCTTTTTCCAATTATACATAAAAATTTAATCAAATATGGAACATTTACTCATGTATTAACAATTATTTTGTTTTTTATAATTTCAGATGTTCAATGGACATTTTACTGAAGTGTGAGCAAGTTTTAGAGAGACTGGAATTTAAAGTAACGGCGGTAAATAATTTAGAATTAGTACAGCATGTGGTTATAGGAATTTTTATTTGATGGTGATCTATTTCAGTCAGAATCATCTGCCGCCACCAGTAATCAGTCTATTGTGGGACCGTCTAAGCCACCAGAGCAGAATATTTGCCAACCGTTAATCGACGCTATAAATTATCACATTAAATCTCCATTATTTAATCACACACTGCAAAGGACTTTTGGACCTGCTGTTGCAGCATTAAATGGTCCACGAACTGTGTAAGTATTTTAAGATTTAAGTTACTTTATATTATAAATTCAGTTATTGTAAAATTACTGAAATAACTTCTGAAGAGCTTCTTAGTCTGCATACACAGAAATGATACGTCATACCATAAAAAATTAAATGACAACTTTGTTAATTTTATGATCATTGTTATTTAGAATGGTTCAAAAATCAGTTAAGCAGGTTATAAGAAAGTTAATTGAATTTACTAAGTTTTGAATCATCTTATATAAGTATATATAAATTTTCTTTTAAAAATATTTCCATAGTGACCACGTGACATTCTATTATCCAATTGGAAGTAATGATCTAACAAGCCTGTTATTTAGAAAGTGTTATTGCTCATCTAACTAATGTACTATACAGTATGTACAATTCATCTTTGTTTTATCAATGAGAAATTAAGAAGACTCACTATTATGTTGAAAAAAATTGCCTAAAGGAAAATGTAAGAGTAAAATTGGTCAGGTAAATTCTAGATCTAAAAGAATAAGAACAATCGAGACTCCTGAAGACCGTAAACGCCGACTTGAGCAACATTGAATAAGAGTGACTTTATCAAGGGCTGCAGAAACAGCATCACAATGTCAAGCTCAATTTGAAGCTTTTCTCAATTCTTCAATCTCTACTTTCTCATAGAAATACAGTAGAGCGTCGATTTTCCGAAAGTCAATCATCCGAAACGTCAATCATCCGAAAGAATTCAAATCGGCAAATTTAAATTTTCGCCAGTGCTGTGGCGCTTCAATCTTTGGCTGTGTCTTGGGTTACTCAAATATTATACGTTTTTGATACTAAATTAACATCTGAAGTATAATTTTTTATTATTTTTATATTTTTAAATATATTTATTTTGTTTGTACAAAATAAAAAAATAATTTTTAACGATACAATAGTCTTTGTTAGGCTTAACATCGACGAAAATTCAACGCGAAGCGACATGCAACGGAGAAAAATTTCAATATCGGATACGTTAAACTATTTTTTCGTAC